ATTCCAAATAGTAAAAAATGTAGTAAAAAAATATCAAGTGCTCCGAAAAATGAATTTAACAAAATTATTTTGGAAAAAGAAAAGGTAGAAAGTAATTCTCGCGATACTCATAAAGATGACAAAAATCAAACTGGAAATAATAATAGCCAACAAATCAACCACATTACTAGCAGTTCTAATTCTGATAAAGAAATGATTGATAACAATGGGGAAATTAAATATGAAGAGGAAGAGATGAAGTTTAACAAAGACATTTCTTCGAAAATAATACGTCACAGAGCATTAATAGGAATTCAAGCCGAAATTATTCTAAAAGATGGATCGACAACGGACTGTAAAGTTAGCTTCTCAGATGAGGAAGATGATCTCTCATTTATTTGCAACGATAAAGTTAAAGCTGTTCCTTGGAGTAACATTAGAGAGATTTTTACAACAAAAAGTGAACTTAGAATGGTGAATACACGAGCAGCTATTTTTAAAGACCCAACATTAATTATTGCACTACATTTAAAAGATACAGGAAATTGTATACCTTTGAAATTTAATTCTAAGAAAGGCAAAGAAGATTTTTTAAATTTCGCCCTCAGAATGATTGGGTAATACTAAAAGCTCACAGAAGATATTTAGTCGTCTTTTATGTAATAAATAAAGGAACATAAAATTTTGGGAGAAAATGATGGAAGTTGCTCCCAATGATATCAGACCAGGCTTTTATATTGCCATTTTGTTAGATTGAATTTAGACTTTTATAAATAGTTTAAACATTTAGGCGGCTACTTCTTTTTGCTAAAAGCTTCATACGAAGGGAATTGTAATTTAATTCTAGTTTACAAGATTCTAATATAAAATATAGAAAATCATCTAGCTAAATAGATTTTTGGAATAAATATTGTTCAATTGTATTTGCACTTTTTGATTAACCAACAGATTTAAACTTAATTTTCTAGGCACAAGTAATTTACAAAATCAAGCAATATATTAATGATCATTTTACTTACATGATAATTAAACAATTTTGATTAATTGAGTTTGTTTTTCTATACTTAATAATGAGTGAAGATGATCAGCTACAGGCATTTGTTGACCCTTTGATTTTATTGAAGGATACTATTACAAGAGGGAAAACAGATGAAATAATTAAATTAGGAGATGAGTTTCATTTCGAGTTTTACAATTGTTCATTGAATGTTAATACTCCCACCAGATGTAGAAATAGAAGAGGAGAGTCATTAAATTTAGATGATTTATATTTATTCATTACAGCTTCTAAAAGCAAGAAGTACACAATGAAACTTGCTCAAGATAATGGACTTAAATTCATAAATATTCTAGAAAAGAAAAATATTTTGGAATTCCTGAATGAGTTTATTGAAAAAACACAAGATTCAAGAATTCCATCTACATATTCCATTGAAGATTTAGGTAAATATGAATGTATAAATACGGAATTTTCCTTACAGCCATGCAGAATATTAGATAAAAGTAAGAAAATTTTAAATTTAAATTATCCATGGGTCGAATATAAGGTAAAAACAGATATTGAATCAATTAACGGAAAAAGCAGTGAAAATATAATACATTCAAAAGTTGCAAATTCAATCCAATTAAAGAATAGGGATGAAATTATGTTTGTTAAAAGAAAAGTTAATTTAATTTCACAGATATATCCAATAAATATTGACTACATTTGTCAAGGAATTGATATGTATACTAGAATTAATAGCTTGCTAACATTTATGAATGAGCCTGCAAAAAGCGAGAACAAAAAAAGATCAGCCGAATCTAGTTCATATATTCATAACGCGGAAAATAAAAAATTGAAAGACGGTAGAAGATCTAACACTGCAGATTTTGGAAAAAGAGGTTCCGAATCTTTGATAAGTACTTCAAATATATCAAAATCAAGGAACATACCAAAGTCAATAAATTCTCAACAAAGATCAACATTATTAGCATACCTAAATTCAAATAATCTCAACCCAATAATACTAGTTCCACCATCATCCAAGAGCCCAATTACATTAAACAATATAATTCAATTCTTACGAGATAAAGAATTTGTAGACCCTAACCTAGCAAAGAGAAACTTTGCTGGTAACGAACAAACTGTTACATTAAGTTTTGGCTCAGGAACCACTGTACAAAAGGTCACATTTCGAATCCTTGAATCCACTCTTAACTTTAGGAAAAGGGATTGGTATTCACTAATTGCAGTGTTCCTTACTGGAGCAGAATGGCAATTGCAGTCCTTCCCATTTAAAACGATTCAAGATATATTTACAATGGTAAAGGGATATCATATAACATATGATTCAGAGCCAATTCCTGATAACATCCGAAAATGGAATGTTGATGTCGTAAGAATTAATAGGACAAATCGCCATAACGACCTTTCAGTTTGGTTTCAATTCATGGAGTCTATTGAATCCGTTTTAGCGTCTAGTAGAGATCATTCTAAATTAGATAGAAGTAAATTATGAACGTTAACATTATTCGAATTAGACGATAGATTGCAACAGAAAGCAATTGATATATAATCTAATATTCAATGACTTAATAGTTTACCTTGAATAAATACTTCTCTTGTTTTTTCTATTAAGTTTGTGGATTTTAAGATCATCTTTGTACGCCAGTACAACTGAATCGCTATTATTATAAAAGGTAGAACAATCCTCAACTCTACTTTCAACTTCTTTAATTGAATAAGAATATAGATTACCTCTTTTTACGGCTTCAAAGTCCCAAACTATAACAAAATTATCTATGCTTGTAACGATTTTAGTTTCCGCCCAAAATCCTTCTGGCCCTTGGCATTGGTCAAATCTGGCAGGCGTGAAGTTAACTTCTGTAATTTTGTAATGAAACAAATCTTCGGGCTTTAAACGCAGTTTCCTGGATGGAGGTTTATTCCTCAGACTTGAAACAAATCCATTTCTACCTTCAGATCCAGAGTTTTCTTCTTGCTCAGTTACTGGATATAAGTGAATACAATTTTTTGTAGTTGCGAGAATCCAATTACCATTTCTAGTCACATCTACGGATATAATTGGAGACCCAAATGAATTAAGTAGTGTCTTTGCCTTTTTAAATTCTCCATCTTTGTTCATTGTACCATCATATAATCTTAGCTCTCCTAAGTCGTTGCCAATCAATATATGTCCATCTTTATCAGTTGCCATACTACTAAAAAGAACATTAGACCTATATATCTTTGAAGTAAATCTGTTGGAAGACTCCTTGATCCTACTATCCATTATAAACATTGCGCTGTTACTTAATCCCAAAAACGTTGGAACTGGAGTGGATTGAGAATCTTTGCTTGACAGTCCTAAACAAGAAATTGGAAGTCCATTTGCATCCCAACGACGTAAAATTTTTTCATTTGTCAAATCCATTTGATAAACATAATTAGGATCTGTTTCCGACAGAAACAACATTTGGGTTTCACAGTTGTGTAGTTGGCCTCCTACAGGAAGTACACTTTGATTTTCGAATTCAATATTTTTAATTACAGAAATATTTCTTGCAGGAGTTCCACTAATATTATAATTGCTTCCTTCCGATTCTGTGTTTTTAAATACAGCAATTTCTGACTTCCCATTACGCCTATTTGCCCTACCAACAAAAGTATTTTCATGTCCTATTAACATATATTTGTGATTCAAATACAATTCGTTATTTTTTGTTACTCTCCTAGGAGTTGAATAACATTCATTTTCTACTTCATCAGCTGAACAAGTGTGGTCACTTTCATTATCGCTGCATTCCCACATAATCTGATCTTTGCTGGGATTATAGTTATCATCCAGGTCCATTTTATAACTCACTCCATAGTCTGAAACTTCGTTTTTAATGATTTCAGAAATACTTTTTCTTGGCCTTTTTTCTTCCGGATTTACTTGATCTATGTGCTCTAAAAGTTTAGCAATAAATCCATCAATTTCTTCCTCTGAGCTATAGAAGGATTTGTTATCTTCGCCTTCATTCTGTATTCTTTTAAAATGAATTCGATATCTTTTTCTTATTTCGTCCTGATTAAACCCATAAAATTCAACAACTCTTTCACTTAATTTAGGCAAAAAAAGAATGTTATCCCCAATTATACTGGCAAACAGTACTTCGCCTTTTCCTGATAAATTCTTAATAGAAAAAATTGTGTCTTTGAAGTCTTTACTCGACAAAAGCTCGCAAATAGCATTTAGGCTTATTGGCTTCCATTCTTCAGCGTTAAAGCTCAAAATAGAATCTCTTTTCTTTTTAGTTATTGTATCATCGTGTTCATACAATTCTATTGGGATTTGATCTTTTATACTGCAGAGAGAACGAAGAGACAATGTTATATTATACGATAAGAATGAAAGAATATGTAGATCCATATTTTCAAACTCGAAAACGAATTTTACCAAATCTTGTCCTGACCTCGTAATAATTATAAATTCACCCTGTTTATTACTATGAAAGTAATGTATATTCTTAAAATTGAATATATAATTTTCTTTTTGATCATCATTTGGATTTACACCGCTCATGATTATGTCATCTTCAATATTCATGCAGCAGGATTTAAGTACAAGCTGGTATGTCTTTCCGTTACATTTATACAGAGACCCTAAACAATAGTATTTAGTTCGTTTGATACTAGTTTAAACTGTCTAACTTACCATGATAGCTTTTACTAATTTTAGGGGAATCACCAGCACTCGCAGAAAATCCAGTAAATATTCTTCGTATTAAACCACTCATATGTATTCGTTGTTTTTGGCATTAAATTAATTTTCACTAAGATAATATTTTATGCTCCAAGGAGATTAATTATTATTCTATTAACAATTTGCTATAAAATGTACCGAGGGCGGGGATAATTCATGTTTTTTTTAATTAGATCTCTTAGAAGTTCTCGAAAGTAACTGAAAGTGAATAATTAATTTTTATAAAATGAACTTAATTGGAATAGTTTAAATATTAGAAAAATAATAATTGTTTTGCGGGCAGAAAAAAAGTGCGTAGAATGGGATTCGAACCCATGAGAGCATACGCTCATTAGATCTTGAGTCTAACGCCTTAGACCAACTCGGCCATCCACGCGCCGCTACTACCGACCGTTTATTGTAAAATATATTCAATAACAAGAAACTAAAAATCAGCCAAATTGACGAGGGGGCGTCAATAAAAGTAAATAGTGGTTTAAGTGAAGAAATGAATTAAATTGACCTAGGAGTACTATATACCTGTAATATATGTTAATTTTAGTTACATTTTGAGAAGTGGCAAATAAGGAGCTATTTATTTGGTAAAAAAAACATTAAATAAAGTCTCCATACCTGCCTCTTAATTGTCTAGCTAATCTTATATCTCTTGGTAGTAATGTAACTCTTTTGGAGTGCAATGTGCATAAATATGCATCCTCGAATAACCCTTGTAAAAATGCTTCTGCTGCGCATTGAATAGCATGCAAAGCCTCTGCATTCCATCTCCACATTTCGCCATGTGGCACAAATTTTAATGTAACCTCTCTAACAACGCGAGCAAAAGGTAGTTTAGCAATAAGTAAATCAGTTGAGGCTTGATATTTTCTAATTTCTCTTAATGCAACCGTTCCTTAAATAAATATAATTTGAACACAGAATAAATTATTTAGCTTACCTGGTCTTCTTCTATATCTCCTTGGGCTAATGGGGCTACTACTAATTGCTCTATTATTCGTTGATTGGTGAAGAATAGGAGTCTAGAGAACTAATGAATATGTTGCATAAATGGAATTAATCAACTTACTTTTGACGGATATTTTGCAATTCGCTTGCTTGAAGTTTTAGAACGAGCCATAATCAATGAACCAATAGAAATTACTATTGAAGCCGTTAAAACAACGACTGCAATAGTAATAATTGTTAATTATCAGCTCTAGACTAATTATTTAGTATTACTTGAAATATCTATTTATTAATTCCAGAAAAATATATCGTTTTCCAAATGAAGCCCGTTTCATGCATGAATAATATCTTAATTAAACAACCAAAATATTCAAAAAAAATTATTCTTTTTAAGAAAGAAATTAAGTTTAATATCTAATTTTTTTTTATAAAAAAACTTTCACATGTATAAATTTATTTTATATTCTTTGCAAATTATTTGGCTTTGTCGTCTGTCCATCTAGTTAGTATATATTTCTTTTAAATGTGGGTAATGATTTGGCGCTGGCGGCACTGCTGCTTTTTTTTAAGCTTAAACTTCTAACATTTATGTTAAAAATAATAGAAAGCAAATCACATGCTCTTACACACAAGATAATACACTCTGGCTTGTTGCTTATTTCAATAAGTATTGATCACGGAGAAGAAAGTAAATTCTCAAAGTGGAAATGTGCTCCTAAACTTTACTTTATTATCCCAAGAATAGGTTATTTATTATCTTTGATTGACACTATTCAGGACTATTACGCTTCTATTGATAAGGAATTTTATAATTTAATTGAAAACACTTTCTCTTGGTTTGAGTACGATGGTTTGGTCATAAATAGGTAATTTATTTTTTAATAATTACATTAAATTGTATCCTTTCTAAGCCAATTCCCTGTAGGAATATTATTTGATAAGTATCACAAAAGCAATGATAGCGTTTCATTCAACATTAAATTGGTTCTTCAATACAATAATAGTAATAAAAATAATCGGAAAGCTCCTTTTTTTTCTGAAGAAAACTCAGTATTTAATAATAACTTGATTAAGATTATTACAAATAACATTAAGCTATCTCAAACTGTAATGTTTGGAGATTGCAGAAAACTTCAAATGATGAATAAGAAAGATTACAATGAACTATTTGATTCTATATACTCTCTCTCCAAGACAACAGGTGAATACGAGAAGATAATTCATCGATTGTTCGGGTCAGCAAATGAAATATATTTCAATACTAAGTAAGTTCTTCAGTATTTAAGCTTTAATAATTTAAAAAAAAAAAATTAGGAATATTCCGGTAAAAATTCACGTTAAGAACGAATCATTTTTGAGATCATTCAAAAAAGATATTAACAATCAACTAATTGAAATAAAAGATATTCTAAACCATTTCAAATTTGAAACTAATGTGAGCTTAGATTCAAATAAAGTAATTTTTCATGGGGTCGCACTACCATTAAATACGCCATTAATATTTTTAACAATATTTTGCCCTTATATTGATGGGATTGTTCAATTAGTTATTAAAGATTAATAATATTAGCTTCCTATATTAGTGTTTGTAGAATTGTTTTCAGATGCGCCTCTCTGATCAAGCAATACATTATTAGGCATAAAGTAGATAGACATAAACCCCATAGTTAGGAACCCAATAAGTGTAATCGTTCTCTGGAAATCGCTATTGTTGGAGGTTGTTATACTTGAAAATATCAAGACTACTGAAAGAAAGAATAACTGTTTTATCTGGAAAATTGCTGCTGAAAATCCAGTTATCATCCCTCCTATCAAAATCAACTCCGAAAGCAGAGTGGCTTTAGTTGCTAAAAATCAAGTAAAAATTATTAATCAAACACATTTTTGGCATACCTGATCTCAATATTTTAATGAAAGGTACGGACTTAGAATCATCTATCATTTTAAAAATTTCTAATTAAAAAAAATAGCAATTTCCCTACATCCACTGTTGGCGCGTAAATATTCTTAGTCTAAATGATAGACAACTACATAAATAAAAACTTTTTATTATTCTCCTTCTGAACTGTTTTGATATTAATACTGTTCATGTTAATATCACTTAGATTTGGAATTGAATACTTATATTTCTGTGTTTTCCCTTTAAGAAAGTTTGAGATTCTATTATTAATATCGTTATAAATGAAGTAGTGTATAAAGCACGACTTATGTGCGGTAACAAACTTATCTCCAACTAGATTCTGGACGGAACTATTTCCTGATCCAATTGATGAACAATTTTCCTTAAAGGGCCTAAATTTAATTATTTGGTTCGAATTATTTAATACTCTTGTAGGGAACTTCCACTGAATAAAGCTTAACATTTTGTCGTTAATTTTTTCCTTAATGCTGTTTAATTTAGTAATACTTGCGTCTTGAGATGTATCAACCACAGCCAAGATTAAATTATGAGATGAGCTTTTCCTATTTTCATCTTCAAATGTATATTTAGTGGAACTTTGTGTGAGAGCTATTGCGTCAGTTGAAATCCAAGATTTATTAATTGAGCACCATTTAATATTTAGTGATTCATGACAAATATCGCAAACCATATGTAAATGATCAACTGGAGTATAGGTAGTAATTACACTTTGTGTCATTTCATTCCAAAGTGAAGACAAACTATTGCAAATGTCATCTACATCTTTAATTATTTTTCCATAAATATCGTTGTTCGTATCATTAGTGATTGTTACAAGTTTATTTAATAACGATTCAAAATCAAAATTAGAAAAATTTTTTAAATAATTTATGTATTGAGCCAACAAGATATTTTTGGATACACCAATAGAAGATGAAACTTTAACAGTTGGATTAGAACTAGAATCAATTAAATTAACTTCAATTGAATTATCATTAATCCCTTTATGTTCTCTATTTGTTTCAGAAGCCATATGCTTTCCTGGCTTTCTTTTGAACAATGAGTTAAATAGATCATCAAAGCTGATATTCTTGTCACTAATTTGAGAAACTTCATTCGTGAAATCATTCGATTTCTCACCAATTGAATTTCCTAATTTGTCATTATCGCTCATAAAATCCTTACTTTCACCAGAAATTTCGGGTGAGGTCTCACCTAATATATTTTTATCGGAACTGTAAATCCAATCCTGAAGAGAAGGCCATAGAATTTGAAAGTTTGAACTTTGTTTTCTTTGTCTAAATATAAGATTTTTCGTTAGATGAATTTGAATATGCGATTCTTTCTTTTTGCTGTCAATAAATCTATAGCCACAAGTATGGCATTGATTCGGTCTCTCAGCATAATACATCGAAACATTTGCCTGCAAATTGAAATCATTTATATTATCAATTATTCTTTTCCTAATGAAATGTGATTTTAACCAAACAGATCTTTTGAACTGAATTGAAGCGTCAACATTCTCTTGGAGTTTTTTGAATAAAAGTAGCAAATTACTTATTTCTTTAACTTGAAGGCCTTCCAAAAAAATACTTTGATCCCCTCTACCGTCTATAACGTATGAATCTATTCTCCTTAGATTATCAGATTCTATTCTTGAATTACCACGAAATAGTTGATTCCAAACAGAAAACAAAATGGATGATGTACTATTTTCTAAAAATCTTGGTGAAAATGTTTTTTTAATATTACCAGCAATCCCTGATGTGCTTAATGTCGATGCAGAAGATATTGAAGATGATACCGTTGGAGACAACTGTTGTGGGGCGGTGCTAGAGTGAGGAATATTCATTTTTGATTGAGGCTGGGAAATAATTGGTTGTGCGGATAAAATACCAGATTGGTGTTTTTGATGTTGAATCTGTGCCTTGGATTGTACTACTGCAGCGGCAGCGGCCGCTGCTGCTGCTGCTGCTGCTGAGACTGATGGAGATACAACAGGATTTGAAGTTGCTGGTAGTTTAACAGATTGATTGGAAGACATTTGAGGAGGAGAGACATGCTGCTGTAGAGAAGAAGGTATTCCGATCTGTTTTACAGATTGGGAATTTGAATGATTAAAGTGAGTTTGATTCATTGAATTAACCTCAGAGTTCCTATTTACTTTGTTAATTGTAATCTCTTGTTTTTGTCTTTTACTAACTGGAAGTTGATCATTTATAGGGTTAACATGTTTATGTTCAAAATTATTTGACTCTATATTCATTACCAAAGTGTCCATTAACTTTTGGGACTCTTGAATCTTCCCATAAGTGTTCAAGTATGCTATCTTATGTACAATAGGATCTGAAACCAACTTATTCAATAGAATATTACCTCCATCAGAGATGTTACACTTTTTTATAATTGTTCTTGAGATACTTGTATATATTTCGTTAAGTCTAGCAGCTTCCGTTCCTGCATGTGACGTTTCAGCTGTGTTTGTAGTAGTCCCGTTTATACCAACGCTAGAGCTGGGGGCTATATTACTTCCA